CTGGCTTTCCCCTGGGATGGAATCTTGCATTCAGACAGGTAGAAGAGCTGAGCAGTGTATTGATGAGTAGTGATGGCAGGTTCTTCAGGTGTTTGGGTCTGACCTTGTCTGGTCTGGGTGCTCTTCACTTCTTTACTGATGAAATGGCATGTCAGATTTCAGAAGGGAGAACATTCGGAACAACATATCCATCCTGTGGAACTTGGTATGTGGGCAGGTGGATGTGACTATAAAAGAGATCCGGGTAGAAGTCATAGATAATCTTCTCCATTGCCCTTCTGGAAGAGGTGATAGATTGAACAAGATGTTGGAGGGCAGTCATCTTGGTCTTGTAGTTGGCGAAGGACAGGCGGGCATTGTGAATGCTTTTCCCAGCTTCTGCTGCATCTGCCTGCACTGCTGTTCTTCTCTCTTTGAGGTCTTCCTTGATCACTTTTCTGCACTGCTTTTCGAGCTCAGAAGTTTGTTTGTGGTTGCCTGAGGCCTGTGCCAAGCCATGTTGGCGAATAAGCTCGAGTTTTCGAAGACTGGTGTCTTTTTTGGCTATCTCTCTCTCAGCGTTCCTCACATAATCATGGAGGTGCTGAACCAGTTGATTGTATTCTTTGTCAATATTGTCAATGACAGCATCTTCCCATGTTGCCACAATAGTGCTAAGTCTGTACTTTCAATGCATGTATGCTGGCATCGGATACATCCATCGAGGATCTGATGATGGAAGCGCAAAAGATCAAGTATGACATCACTGGTCTGACTGAGACGAGAAGGCATCAAGCACATCAAGCCATTTTTGACACTGGAGAAGAACTGTTCCTTGGAACATGCAACAAAAGAGGCATCGGTGGTGTCAGTGTCCTTGTCAACACGAACTTGACCTTGAGCACTAATTCATTCAAATGCCTAAAAACCGAAATCAGACGATTACACTTGAATAGATGTGGCTCACTGCTGGCAGTTTTTATCTTTGTTGTCTATGCACCAACATCCAATTACAATGAAGAAATTGAGAAGTTGTACATGGATCAAGAGAAGTTCTATAAAGAAGACCACACCTTCTACAAAATCATTGTTGGTGATTTTAACATCAAGATAGGACTGAGAAGATCAGCCAAAGAACTCCACATCGGGACCCATGGCCTATAATGGAACGAACAGGGTGAGAGACTGAGTTTATCATGTTGACCAAGGCTATCTATCCACGGTAACTCACAGTTCCAGAAGGTCCAATCTAAACATTGGACATGAAAATCTCCCGGTAGACAGTTTCACAATGAAATTGACCACATCATATTCAATTGACGGTTTTGCCTGACCGATGTCGCTGTTGTCCCAAAATTCCAAATGGGATAAGACCACCGTCCCGTTTGTGCAAAATTCTACTTCACGAAGCAGGGAGAAAGGGCTGCAAAGTTTAAGATGAGAACTCCCAGAATGACCACCAACTGGGAGCTCTTTGGCATTATTTCGGCAACATGGGTTCTATACACAAATCAGAAATCTGGAGTCACAGTATTAAATTAAGATCCCTTAGCCTAGGAAATGTGCTTCTTTCGGAAAGTCAAAATCATGATAGAGAAAATATTTGCCACAAAATTATTTATCATAAAGAAAAATTTAAACTAATTTTTACCCAGCAAAGGGTAATAATGGTTAACTGCTCTATACTATATCCATATGACAAAGTGTGGTTTCAGTCCCCAGGATGCACTCTAGTAGATGGTAAAATCAACTAGATAGTTAATGATTTGAATCTTTTTAAGTTAATGAAAAAATAAATTGGTTTTTGGTGTGTGTGTGTGTGTGTGTGTGTGTGTGTGTGTGTGTGTGGACTAGGTTCCCTTTAAAATGTAATTCTCATGAGATTTTGATCCCAAAATGTTTGAAAGTCACTGAAATAGCATTATTAGATTAAGCACTATAAAATTACTATCTTTGACAGATAAAAATTAAATTGGCAATTTCATAGGGTTCCATCTAATAAGTGCTTTTTAAGTGATGCCACAATGAATTTCCAGTAATATGGGAAAATTCTCTTAAGTGCTTCCAATTTCATATACAGAATATGTATTTATTTGTATATGAATATATATTCATTTCACCTTTGCTATAAATATATGCTAAGGCATGCACAAATGAAATGATGCAAATGCTCAATAGATATAGGATAGGATTGTTTAACTGAAAATTTCTGTAAATTTTATATAAATTAAGGACTGTATTTACATATAAGTATTGTACAATTATATATGTATATATTCATAAATTTGGGGGGCCAGAGAGGTAGATCAACATGCTGAGCACATTCTTTGCATGCAAGGAAACAAGGTTTGATCCTAGCATTGCATGGCCCTCTGAGCACTATCAGGAGTAAGCCCTGAGCACAGGGCCAGAAAGAGCGTCCAGTACCACTGGGTGTGACTCTAAAAGTCAATAAACAAATAAATATTCATCATCATTAAGTCTCCAGTGACATCAATCTAAAGAACTTTTTCTTTTCTATTGACTTCCTGTGACTGTGGCTAGGCTATTTTGTTTTGGTTTGGCTTGGGGGTCATATCTAGTGATGTTCAGGGATTACTTCAGACTCTGCTCTCAGGGATCACTCCTGCTGGTGCTTGGGATTCCAGGGATAGAACCCAGGTCAGGTGGTGCAAGGCAAATGCCCTACCCATGGTCCAGGCTCTCTCTTTGGCCCGTGTACTATCCTAGTACTATTGTACTATGCCAATTTAGTGTTTATTTTTAAAAAACACTAAATTTCCCTTATTGCTAGTATTGTTTTCCATCAGGAGAAGTATACTGTCTCTTCTATGTGGTCAAACCAATGTAGAAATCTTGGGGATCAAATTCCTTGTTGTTTCGGGGACATGTTGATATCATTATCAGTTGTAAAGTAACACAAAGTTTAGGTGGTATGTGAAATGATATATTTCAACTCCCTTAAAGTCTTGTTCAGCCACTGTGGAGGTTTAATCCTCCAAGGGAGCTCAAACTAGAATGTGGAAAATATCATGGGAGATAGTCCAGGGGCTAAGGTGAATGTCTTGCATGCAGTGACCCTGAATCCCTAATACCACATGGCCCCCAAGCATTGTTGGGTACAGCTGTACCACAGTGGGGTTGGATCCAGGCAGGAAGGCAGTAGATCCAACGTCCCTGGCACAGTGACCTGCAGAGACTTTAAGGAGAAATTTGGTAGATAACTACAACTCACTTCTAAACAAGAATGGGTCCAGTAAGTCGATTCATAATGCCGTCTTCCTTCTTTTGCCTTAATTCTAACACAGCAGAAGCTAAAATTCAGTACCCATCCCTCACAATATTCAAACATTTTGACCATGGATTTATCATTCTTTCACAGGCTGAGGAATTTCCTGGTAAGATCTAGAACTGGCCTCCCTTACAGAGGGCCCGGGGATATCTGAGAGAAAAGCAGAAATCCCAAATTCAATACCTTGACCCGGTAAAGGAGGTCCACCCTAGGTACCACTACCTGACTCGATCTCCATATTAACCCACCAGAATCCTAAAGGTCTAGAGATAGGCTTTGAATAGGTTCAGTCTAAAAGCCTGCTCAAGTGGTCTCAACAACACATTTTGGTAGGCTGTGTCTCTGAAAAGAGCTCCCATGGGTTACCAAACCCATGTCCCAGTATTTGCTGTCTAAAGCCAGTGACCAGAGAGACAAAATTTGGTGCAGTTAAAATGAGATTATTCAGATGCTACCAGCCTTGTCTTCCAAATACATATCACTCTCAGGTTGGGGTCAGAGTTTTACAGAGAACTCAATGGGAATGTCCATTAGAAAGAAAAAAAAAAAAAGAAAGAAAAATGGAATAGTACTTCCAGGGAGAAAAAGATGCTAACTATCCCTTCCTTCATCAAGAAGAGCAGCTGGTGCCTGGAATTTAATAAACCCCAGGAAATATAGTCTGTTCTATGTAAAATTTTGAGATGCACAACTCCAAAAAGTGCCATCACACTTGAGTCTACTGTGAAATACATTTGTGTATTTTGTAATTTCCCCCCAGCAGGTGACAGGGAAAATACTTTGAAGGAGAACCATCTCCCTCTAAACTTCTCACCTAGTGGCTCCGACCCTTTCAGCAAGCCTCCATTTCTCATCATTTGTACATGGAGGAGTCATTCTGCTTCCCTCTCCAGACTCTTACACACTCACAAACTGTCCAAACTGTCCTCCCATTGTTCATCAATTTGCCTGTGTGGGCCAAGTAACGTCTCCATTTTGAGACTTGCTGTTACTGTTTTTGGCATATTGAATATGTTACGGGTACTCTTGGTAGCTTGCTGGGCTCTCCAAGAGGCGCGGAGGAATTGAACCCGGATCGGCCAGGCTGGCTGCATGCAAGGCAAAGGCCCTACCACTGTGCTATCACTCCAGCCCACATCACATTATCATTTGATATCTAAGAAAAGAACACACAATGGCTCCTATCTTAAGGACCATTCCACATTTCTTACCATTTTTTTCTGGGTTATTTTGGCCTGGGATGGAACCCAAACCCTCGCATATTGCAGGCACACTACCACCCAGCCATGTCGCCACTCTTGTTATTTCTTGTTAGCAGATGGTTGTGAGGGAAGTGTGTTCTGTATGTCTGCTTGTATGTTTAAGATACAGCGTGACATTCTTTTCAGGAAAGTGCTCTGTGTACCTGCAGTGTTAAACTACTTATACACTTCTACACTTAATCATGTATGTCACACCACTAGAGGGTCTGTTCTGACAATAATTCTAGTTTCACAACTGATTTGAATCAAGATTTCCAGTCAGAAGATGACAATATTTACAACAAAGGAGTGTGCTTATATCCTCAAAAAAATCTTGAGAAACAGATGATCAGGAATAGATAGATCATCTACTAAATAATTGATTCAAAGTCCAGAGTATACTTGATCTTCTATCATTTGAGAATGTATTGATTTTTGTTTTACTCTTTTAGAAATGTCATAAAATTTGGTTGTTTTTTTTTTTTAAGGATTTCATCAAGGGTCTTTCCATTTTGCTTCGGGGGACAGTACAAGAAAAACTCAACTGGGCATTTAATTTGTATGACATCAACAAAGACGGGTATATCACTAAGGAGGTAAGAAATCACCAGTACTTCCATTGTTTTTTAACTTCACAATGTTAAAATGAATGTCATTACTAAAAGGAAACACTTTTGTTCAGAAAACCCAAAATATTATGTTAGTGGATTACGTATTTAAATATAAAATAAAATTTGTCATGTGTAAGACGAATTCATGGTTAATCTCCAACGTAAAAATGTAACATGAAGAGTGCATTATTACCTTACAATGACATTTTACTAAATACCGTAATTGAAATAAAGATAGTGAATGTAATATATGAGAAGAAAATGTGCCAAACTATGTTACAAAATTTGACTTAAAATCATTTTCCCCCTAGAAACAAAGTCAATTTTACTATCATTATTAATGATGTTACACTGCATAGGAAATTACATGGTGTGATATACTTCAAGACAAGTTATCTTAAAGAAGGTTATAGGCTGAAATAAGAGAGTCATATTTTATGGGTTAGTACACTTACTTTGGCGGCTTCCTAGTGTTACTCAGAGGCTGTGCTGGGTAGCATTAAGAATCTACTTGGTGAGGCTGGAGTGGGGAGGGGGCTTTTGTGCTGGGGACTGAGCCAGAGGGGTGGGCAGTATATGCATCCCCACCCTTTTAGATGCCTTCATGAGCCAACTCAAAACAAAGAAGCAAGGGAGAGCAATGGGATAAATCAGGGGTGGGAAATCACTTGTCCTGTGAAATCTTGTGGTCTGAGCCTAGAACATGATGGGACAGACAAGAAAGCTTCTGACCATCTCCCAAGATTAGCTACACATATTGTATGGTCTGAAATGCTAAAATATCCAAATGGCCCTTGGCAGAAAAAAAAATTCCCATCCCTAGACTATGGTTATAAACTTAAGTCAGAATAAGCAAGGTTGATGGACTATATTGGTGCCTGGATCCTGGCTGGGGAGTGGAGAGGAAGGGATTCAATGTTCATACCTCCGTCTTCTCATTGCCTCATTTGCTTTCCACGAAAATACATACTGAGCAAAAACAACAATAAAACAACCCTAAACAAAACAATCCTTGGGTCACCAGCATTGGTGGAAGCAGACAGGGCAGGGTAGGGTGGGGCTCCTGGTTTTAATCCCTTGGTCACCTGAGGATGGTGGGAGCAGGCAGAGGATCTCTGTTTCCAGGTCCATTGAGCCTGGAGTCCAAGGTATCAGAGTTCTGCTTACACACAGATGACTCACCCTACCGGAACCAGACATCTACCACCAGCAGATCTCTACTACCTCCACTACTTCCACTACCCAGCTGCCACCATGCTCCAGGACGCTTTCCGGATGCTTGGGCTGAGACTCACGCATGAGTGAAGCCCCACAGAACCAGATAAGCGGAACTCTGAGACCTTGGACTCCAGCCTCAACAGACCCGGAAACAGAGATCCTCTGCCTGCTCCCACCAACCTCAGGTGACCAAGGGATTAAAACGAGGAGCCCCACCCTACTCTACTCTGTCAGCTTCCACCAACAGCCAGGGACCCAGGGATTACACACAGAAGACCCATCCTACCGGTACCAGATAAATACCTCACCAGCAGACCTCCACTATCCAGTCACTGCCACACTCCAGGATGCTTTCTGGACCACGCGGCTGCAAAGCAGCCACGCAACACATAATAAGACACTTAATACCCATCTTCCAGGATTGCTGCACCATATTTGATGGGGTTCAAATATGGTTTGAACCATGGGAACACCTGCAAGTGTGATTAGAGACCACCCTAAAAGCCTCTATCCCTCTTGAAGAGCCTGGCAAGCTACTGAGAGTTTCCTGCCTACACAGCAGAGCCTGGCAATCTATCTGTGGCGAATTCGATATGCCAAAACCAGTAAATACAATGGGTCTCATTCCCCTGACCCTGAAAGAGCCACCAATACGGCAGTGTTAAGAAGGATGAGGATGGAGAGGCTGATAAAATCTCAAGGCCGAACTAGGCTGCCAAAATGAAGAAAGACAAAAATGACTGTCTATACTTTCAATGCACGTACGCTGGCATCAGATGCATCCATCAAGGACCTGATGGAACAAGCACAAAAGATCAAGTACAACATCATAGGTCTGACCAAGCCAAGAAGGCATCAAACACATCATGCAGTTTTCAACACTGGAGAAGAACTGTTCCTCGGATCATGCAACAAAAGAGGTGTCGGAGGTGTCGTTGTCTTTGTCAAAACGAACTTGGCCATGAGCATTAATTTATTCGAATGCCTAACAACCTGAATCGGACAATTACACTTGAATAGATGTGGCTCACTACTGGCAGTTTCTGTCTTTGTTGTCTATGCACCAGTTATGATGGAAAAATTGAGAAGTTCTACATGGAGCTGGAGAAGTTCTATAAAGAAGACCACACCTTCTACAAGATCATTGTTGGTGATTTTAATGCCAAGATAGGACCGAAAAGATCAGCTGAAGAACTCCAATTGGGTCTCATGGCCTAGAATAGAACGAACGGGGTGAGAGACTGTCTGAGTTCATCATGTTGACCAAGATAATCCATGGTAACTCACAGTTCCAGAAGGCTGAATCTAAACATTGGACTTGGGAGTCTCCTGGTGGACAGTTCCACAACGAAACTGACCACATCATAATTCAATCTACAGTTTTGCTTGACTGATGTCGCTGTTGTCCCAAAATTCCAAATGGGATTGGACTACCGTCTCCTTCGTGCAAAATTCTACTTCACAGAGCGGGAAGAAAGGGTTGCAAGGTTTAAGAAGAAAACTGCCAGAACAACCACTAACTGGAAGCTCTTTGGCACTATTATGGCAACATAGGAAGATGCCGTGTTGACAACATTGGCAAGGAATACAATCCACTGGTTCAGCACCTCCATGATTGTGCGAGGAACGCCAAGAGAGAGATAGCCACAAAAAGACGCCTGTCTTCAAAAACTCTTGAGTTTATTTGCTAACGTGGCTTGGCGCAAGCCTCAAGCAACCACAAGTGAATATCCAAGCTCGCAAAGCAGTGTAGCGAAGCGATCAAGGAAGACCTCAAAAAGAGAAGAGCAGCAGTGCTGGCAGATGCGGCAGAAGTCGGGAAAAGCATTCTCAATGCCCACCTGTCCTTCGCCAACTACAAGACCAAGATGACTACCCTCCGACGTCCTGATGGATACATCACATCCTCCAGAAGGGCAATGAAGAAGATTATTCATGACTTCTACTTGGATCTCTTCTATAGCCACATCCACCTGCCCACATACCAAATTCCGCAGGATGGATATGTCGTTCCCAACGTTCTCCTTTCCGAAATCCGACACACCATTTCGTTGATAAAGAAATGAACAGCACCTGGCCCAGACAAGGTCAGACCTGAACACCTGAAGACTCTGCTGTCAGTACTCATCAATACACTGGCTCGGCTCTTCACACACTACCTGTCTGAATGCAAGGTTCCATCGCAATGGAAAACCAGCAGGACTGTACTGCTGTACAAGAAGGGAGACATCCACAACACTGGCAACTATCACCTGATCTGCCTGTTGTCTGGTGTCTACAGTGTCTACAAGCTGTTCACTTGAGTCATCCTGAATAGGATTGGCAGAACACTAGATGAAGAACAACCATGCGAGCAAGCCGGGTTCCGCAAAGATTCAGCATTGTTTCTCCTGGACTGCCCATTAACTTAACCCATAGATTTTTACGTGAAGGAAACAAATGGCACAATAAATTTCTAAAAGATACTACCTTTTACTAAGATGGAAAATAAGTCAATAATGGAAAATAAGTCAATAAATAGATCTGAATAAAAATAAGAAAATCTCAAGGTGCTCTCCCAGCGTGTTTTTGCTATAGCCCAGGTACCACCGGGATGGTCTTCGTGGTGCCGCGCAGAGGAGAGTCCAACCAGCATCACACACCTTCAGGTTCCTACATTGAACAAAGTATTTGGTTGGCCAAATACTGCCTGGACTAGTCCTTGGACTCCCTGAGCACTGCTCAAGAGCATATCTCTTGCCCATTCCCCCCCCCAAAAAAAAAAACCAGAATATTCCCTTCCTGATGTGTGGAAATTTACTTAAAACCAGTATCAAAGTTCTTAGATTCTGATTTTGTTTTTTAAGCACAAAACTGTTGGCTTTCTGAGACAACCAAGGCAATGGATTAAGATTCAAAGGCAAGTCAAGGTTTTGCAGTTGAGTGATCTGATAGGAAAAATCTGGCAAATTTGCAGTCTGCCTGCCATGTATAGTTTTGCTGCCTTGTGTGTCTTTCACTTTGCAGGAAATGCTTGATATAATGAAGGCGATCTATGACATGATGGGTAAATGCACATATCCTGTCCTCAAGGAAGACGCTCCTAGACAGCATGTGGAAACATTTTTCCAGGTAGGAATGCAAATACAAGTGGAGAGAAAACAGAGGCCAGAGTGATAATACAGGGGGCAGGGTATTTGCCCTGCATGCAGCTGACCCTGGCACCCCCTATGGTCCCCCAAACACCACCAGGAGTGATCCCTGAGCACAGTCAGCTGTAGGATCTGTCCACTTTTGGGTGTGTACCCCCTCTAAAATAAAAAGATGAGACAACGTTGAGAAAATTTTGTGATATTTGCCAAGTCTCAAAAGTTAAAAGAATGCAGAGACTAAGTTTCTGAAAGAGAAACTGGAGAGAGTAGCAGGGCTCAGGTGCTTGTCTTGAATCAGCTGGCCCGGTTTGAGCTGTAGCACTGCATATGGTCCCCCAAGCACTGCCAGGAAAGATCCCTGAGCAAAGAGCCAGAGCACAGCCCCCAAACAACAATATTCTCCACCCCAAGTAACGATTCTGGATTTAAATTTATCGTAAGGCTGGTTAACTACACTTACTAAACACTCACTAGGCAGAACAGTAAGCAATTGCCATGTTTTACACACACTTGTGGGGGGAATGGGGACAGTTATTTTACTTTTTTGAGATTTTGTGGTTTGCAACATCTTTAATTATACCTGAGTATAATTCCAACACCACACTCATCACCAATGTATCTACCTCCCTCCCTCAGACTCTAACGCCCCTCCCCCATTTCAACTGCCCCTCCCTGAACAAATCAATTGGGTGGATGAGATCTCCTACTAAGTTGCCTTTGGCCCTTTGGTGCTCCCTTCTGGGTATCTGCAAGTCCCATCTCGAGCGATCCTTCTGCATCAACCCTTCTCTCTGACTTAGTACATTCCCCAGCACCATCCATGTTGCGTGATTTTGTTCTTTGAGATGCATCATATTCCATAATGCATCAAAACAACTTCTTGATCCATTTATTCATGGTTGAGCATTTGGCTACTGTACTAAGTGTGGCGATGAACATAGGTATGAATATAGCCTTTCACATGTATGTCTTTGTGTTTTGGGGAGAGATGTCAAGAAGTGGAGCCAGGTCATGCAGTAGTTCTATACCTGTTTTGATAGATCTCCATAACTCTTTTCATAGAGGCTGAACCAGAAAACATCACCACAAGTGAATGAGGGTTCCATTCTCACCACTATTTCTAGACATTTACATATGTGCCACTTTGACAGGCATGAGATGAAATCCTGTTGTGTTTATTTACATTTTCCTAATCATGAGTGATAATGAGCACTTTTTTCATTTGTCTTACATTTCTTTTTTCAATTCTCTCAACTATATGATCAGGTTACAAATCCTCATTAGCCCCATTTTGCAGATGGCAAACCAAGGCTCTGAAAGCAAATTGCCTTAAGCTGTGTCACAGAAAGAAAGCAGGATTTTTCTGTGGGCCGTATATGAGATCCACGCTGTTGTACTGAGAAAGGCAATACCATAGAAACTTGAAAGTTTCCCCTGATTCTCATTGCAAAGAAATCCCTAACCTGCATTCTAAAAGGCCCGTTACCATAACATGCCGATGGGGTTTTCACTCCATCAGCTTCTTGTTCATTTGGTGGATCTGACTGTCACCAAGGGTAAGTCTGAACAAAGATTTTTCCTTTTTCCTTTCTAAACAGAAAATGGACAAAAACAAAGATGGAGTTGTTACCATTGATGAGTTCATCGAAAGTTGCCAAAAAGTAAGCAATGAGTATTTAAGAATTTTCCCTTTTGTTTTTATAAGAACTAAAAATATTGCTAGGTACATTTCACCTGAGCAAACGAGAACATCCAGATGCACAGGCTTACTGCCTCTACACAGCGAGATACACCCACCACTCTGAAGAGTCACCAGTTCCCACATCTGAGGCTCAGCCTGATAGAGTCTGCCAGGAGACAGGCCATACAGATGTCCTAATTTACTGTTTCTTAGGAGGGAATTTATAATTGAGGATAAGATATTGGAGACTTGTCTAGCTTTTAGCCTAGATTTAGCAAATAACGTTTATATCATCTCTTACAACTCCACCCATATAATCCTAAAATCTGATTTCTTAAAAAAAGAAAAAAAATCTACTAGAGTTTGTGACCAAGATTTGACATTTTATTTTTTTACTAAATAAGTAATTTCTTCAAGTCTCTCAAAAATACAGCACAGAAAGACTCAGAAAAAAAATAATTCTAGGAGGTTCATTTGTCATCTTATGGGACATCAATTATAGTTTACCTAAATTGATCTGATGTGTAGATAGAATCGCAATTGTGATGTAAAATGTTTGTTGGTGTTTTAGTTTTTCTAAAACACCAACTTTTAGACTGAAACGAACTTTACCATCTTTCCTGGCACCCAATTGAATTGAAATATACTGGTCTCGGAGAAAACTAACTTGGTGATGATCGTAGTTTAGGAAGAGTTAGGAGGAGGTGCTCAAGCCCAGACTCCAGTGGGGCTGAGCCACAGGGTAGTAAAAGAACTTAGCAAGAGCAGTTTATTGACAAGAAATAGCACAGTGACACAGTGGAGGCCTCCAAAGAGTCTGCACAGCATCCTTAGGGAACACTTTTGATAGTATGTGGGGGAGCTTTCAGCAGGAAGCTTCTTCTTTCTACAGACTACTTTGTTCTGGGAGGGGACAAGCAGGAGAAGTACATTCAATGTTGAGGAGAAAAAAAACTGTGTAAAATAGCCTGAGCCAATCACATTTAAAGGATAAGAAATAGAGATTTAACAACTATAGTTTGAATCTATATATTAAGATGTCCTGAGCCAATCATATAAAGATAGGAAAATGCACATATGGTAATTTTAGCCTATCCTGGAAGGGAGCAGTATGGTCAGTTCCAGAAATTTTGGTAGCAAAGGCACAGAATGTACATCTCACTGGCCAAATGGATCAGGTAGGAGTGCCTAGGCTGATTCTAGAACTGGGGGGCACAGCGGATTATCCCAGCAAGGAGATTCTAAGCCTGCCAAGGTCCTGTGTCTTTTTAAGGCACTAAAAACCACACCAGTGATGTTTGTTCCTTGGCTCCAACAGTGAAAGCCATCAGTAGCCGGAGCACCAGTTATTACTAACTCACTGAGTGCCATTTGCACACAATCTCCAAAGCCCCAAGTAAACCTGTCCCCACAAACTTTATCAACAGGCTACATCTAACATAACCACCAAGCAATTTTCCCCCCAGTCCTTTTTCATGTACTGAGAGGCCACTCATTTTTAAGGGTTCCCAAGGGACATGCAGACTTAGCCCTTAAGAGAACCAGAAAGAGAGGTGTAATTATTGCAAAGGTGGCTCTCAAATCCATGCTCCAATCTTGGGGAAGTAGCTTTTAGCTTATATACAAAACCTGTTCCTATCTGCAGGTACCCGGAGATCAGACTGTAACTCCCTGGAAAGCCAAAATTCACATTTATTCACTTTATCCCAACCTCTGTGCCTCTCTAGTTTTCATCCCAATATTCTGACTGGGGAATACCCTCTATTCAAATCAAGTAATGGGCCAGAGCGACAGTACAGGTTGCTTTGCACATGACCAACCTGGATACTGATCCATGGCACCATATATGCTCTTGAGCCTCACCAGGGGTGATCCCTAAGGACAGTCCCAGGAGTAAACTCTGAGCACCCTACCAGGAGTGACTCCACAGCAAAACAAACCAAAAAGAAAAAGAGGTGTTTCAATGAAATTTTTTGAGCCTTAGTGTTAACAAAACATAAAATGGACATTCTATAATTATCTCTGTGGGTAGGATGGTATTTACATTTGCAAGCACTTAGAACGTTCCTGTGTTGGGGGGGGAGGGGGGTGCTTAGGGCTGACTAGCAGCTAGTTCCCTCCCAGATGATGCTGAAACTGACTGTGCTGTTTTCCCCCTTCTAGGACGAAAACATAATGCGCTCCATGCAGCTCTTTGAAAACGTGATTTAACTTGTCAAATAGCTCATCAATCAAGCAGAAAAATGTGAACTATTCTACATTACAGTTGGAGCTACCACCTTTAGCATAGACTGCTCAGCTTTTACACTGAGGCACATTATGCAAACAAGCTTCTTTTTAATATAAAGCAATTCCCAAAAGATTGTTTTCCAGCTATAAATCTGCATCCTTTTCCTAATGCCACTGAGTCCATGAGACGTTCTAAGTCATTTCATACCCTATGGATACGCAGAACTAATAGAATCTGGCACATAGCTTTATTGATTCTTTAGCCATGGGACTACTGAGGCTTTCACATTATCAATGATTTTAAAGTATCAGTGTTTTTTGCTACTCACTTGTATTAAGTCCCAGAATTTTAAATAGTTTTCTAAACTATTAGCATCTGCATTTAATTTCCAGAAATTAGCTTTCATGTTTGTATGCGGTAATTCCATTTATAAACTTTAAGTAAACAAGACTGCTACAATTAAAAAAACAAAAAGCAAACAAAAAAACCCATTCCCAATTTCACTGGATTTGCTGCCTTCTGTTACAAGAATTAATTTATTTGGCTCTTTTATAACATTGAGCAAGTTGAGTTTATCATCAGATGTCAGCATACAGCCAATCAAGTTTATTTAATGAGTATTTGATTATTTTAACGTACATGATAGTCTAGGCCTACAAGATGTGTATAGTTTTGAACATGTTCAGTCCCATCAGTTGAATGTTTTCTAGTGTGTCTTCGAGTGAAAACAAAGGAAGGATGTTTCTGGGCAGACGCAAAGGGTGACTGCCCCGTCAGGAGGAGCACTGTTGGAATCAGTCCTCCCTAGCAGCATCACAGGCCTGCTCTGTCCTTCCCTGATGTCCTCCCAGCTTGTTTTCCACATGTCATTCAGGGACTGAGACCTTGCCTAGCCCTCTGCCTCCTAGAAGCAAGAGTAGCAGCATCCCCTTTGAGAGCACTAGTGATTCCATTTGTACTAAGAACCACAATGCCAATGCAGTAGAAAATGAGTGTTTGTGTTAGTCAGCTCATCCGGACTGTATTTTGATTTCATTCATCATGAAGCTCCAATGATTCAGATTGTTTTTAATGATTTTAAGCCGAAATTATAGTGCTGCCACGTAACTGAAGATACCATACACCTTTCCGGTTTTGCAGAACTATCTATCACACGCACAAAAAGAGGCCACTGTAGGAAGTGATTCACAACAGGCTTTGCAACAATCAATCAGGTGATCTATTCTGGTGTAGAGAGAGGATGTTGAGAGCTGCCCTGCTATCACCAGTGTAGAAATTACAAGTAGTACAGTACATGTACACTGAGACTTGTCATCACGTGTTTGTGTAAACTCAACGTGCACATTTTGTATTTCAAAAAAAATAAATAAAAGCAAATAAAATGTTTATAACTCTACCTATTCATGTTATAATACTTCATTCCAACAAAAAATTACTGATTTAAAATTATGTATTTTACCTTTGGCATTTCCTAGTTTGTACATACCTATGATTATTTGGGGGAGAGGGCAAGGGAGTAGGGCACCCAGCAGTGTTCACAGCTCACTCCAGGCGCTGCGCTCGGAAATCTTTCCTCCTGGGGATCAAACCTAGGTCTGTCAAGTGTAAGGCAAATGACATGCCCACTGTGCTATCATTCTGGTGCCCACATCCATGATTTAGTAGTAAAACGTGCACGAACAGTGGCGAGTGTCAGTTTTAGCTGCAATGATCTGAGGATGCAATGAGAGAGAGAGAGAGAGAGAGAAGAGAGAGAGAAGGAGAGAGGTAGGGAGGGAGAGAGGGAGGAAGGGGGAAGAAGGAAAGAAGGGAGGGAGAGAGAGGGAGGGAGAGGGGGGAGGGAGGGAGGGACAGGGACCGGAAGAGAAAGGGAGGGAGGAATAAGGAGAGAGGGAGGAAGAGAGAGAGGGGAAAGGAGGGAGGGAGAGAGTTGAGAGAGAGAGAGAGAGAGAGAGAAGCTTTGAGGGAGGTCAACCATGCCTGTAATTATAGTTCTTCAACTGCAGCTCCTTCCAAGAGTGTGAGGAATGGAAGAAGGAAAGGTGTTTTCCAGTGTAAGCGAACTCCCACAGGGAAGAAAGACACCTTATTTCCACCCTTTCAATAGTCTACTTTAGATTGATGTGGCCCTCTGCTTGTTCTACATTGAAAGTCCTGCTTCCATCTCTTCCTCTATTCCTTTCTCTTGAACAATCCAGTCAGTTTCAACAATAGTACTCAGAACTATGCCTGAAAATTATAACATAAAGCTCTTATAAAGAGGATTAACTGTAAGCAAAGAAAATAAATTTTAATATCTTAACTTCTGGGTATTTTCATGTACTGAGTAACTTCAGTACCTTCAGACTGCAAAAATACAAAAATAATATTTACCTAAATATAATTAATACCTAAAATTTAGGTAAATTTAATGAGTTGTAATAAACAACATGTAAGAGAATTTACACATTTAAAATACATTTTAACTACAACATTATGAAAGTCTTCCCAAGAATTCTATATATTAAATACATATTTTCAAATAATAATAGTGAATTCTCAAAATGTTTGTTGCAAAGCCTGGCAAGCTACCCATGATGTATTCGATACGCCAAACACAGTAACAAGTCTCACAATGGTGACGTTAACTGGGCCCACTCGAGCAAATCGATGAACAATGGGAAGACAGTGACAGTGATTAAATTTCCAGGGCCTTGATAAACATAAATTAAAAAATGTCAAAAGGTTTTAAGTACATAGTTATAAAGTGATTGCAAAGGATGTTATAAATAGTTCAAAAATAAATAACAAATAATAACACGATCGCGATCATCACGACCATCCTGTTGTTCGTCGATTGCCTCGAGCAGGCCCCAGTAACGTCTCCTTCATCCTAGCCCTGAGATTTTTTCTAAAAGTGCCATATTCAAGGCTCTTTCAGGGTTAGGAGAATGAGACCCATCATTGTTACTGGTATTTGGCATATTGGGTATACCACGGGGAGTTTGCCAGACTCTGCCGTGTGGGCAGGTTACATTCGGTAGCCTGCCAGTTTGTCCAAAGTAGGAATGAGATGATAAGATGATAAGCTTCCGGGAGCTGAGTGCGATAATCTCTGGATCCTGGCCGTTGTTGGGGTTACACGGCAGTTGATGGGTGTAACTGTCTAGCTACTGGCAGGTCGAGTCCCAAACCGTGCAGGCTTGGAGATCTCAGCCCCGGGTCCCACACACCTGGGTTCCTCTGCCAGTTCTTTTATGCGTGAGGCTCATCCAAGTGTGTGGAGAGTGCTCCCAGCATGGTCTTGGCTGGGGCCCAGAGGTCTTCAGCTGTTGGGCCCTGGTGGAGACAGTCAGGCACAGGGTAGAAGACTCTGCCTTGTTCTCTCCCGGGAGCTGAGTGTGATAATCTCTGGATCCTGGCCGTTGTTGGGGTTACACGGCAGTTGGTGGGTGTAACTGTCTAGCTACTGGCAGGTCGAGTCCCAAACCGTGCAGGCTTGGAGATCTCAGCCCCGGGTCCCACACACCTGAGTTCCTCTGCCAGTTCTTTTATGCGTGAGGCTCATCCAAGTGTGTGGAGAGTGGTCCCAGCATGGCCACATCTACTGTAAAACCAACCAATAACTGCTATTTGTACAAACCATAGAAATATAAAAAGATAAACCCCACAAAATACATTATGGAACTGTTTTTAATAGCTTACCATTATTAACTATTTTTTTTGGCTCATTACGAACTTTTACTATGATTCAGTGGAACTGTATAAACTCACATTAAATAGCAAATAATGAATGTTGTCTATGATTTTAAGAGAACAAAATGAGCTGCATCTGAAAATTCCCATGGTTTCTGTAGTCAGTGTTTAAAAATCTGTTACCAGGTAGTGAGATGATCTTTGCTGATTCCCTATTTAACAACAAATGGAGCAATATGTTGGAATTTTAGATTTGATGATGATAAGGCTTCCCTGTCAACAGAAAAAAAAAACTTTATTAGTTTCATACAGAATTTTCTTAATAGATTTTGATTGCATCTGCATGAGCAAGTCTGAAAACTGGTCCCAAATTCAAACAAGAATGAGAACAGAATGACAAAACAATAAGAAGTGAGAATGTTTTCCTAAATTAAATAAAATATAGGTGGTTTCACTTTTTTTTTTTCAGAAATATTTAACTAGAAAAAAAAATTCTCTGGATCTCAGTTCTTAAATCATTAAAGTGAAATAAAAACAAAACTTAATTCAAAAAGTGAAGATTGCATTAATGATCACACAGTTACACAGTTTGATTCAAAGTCTGCTCAACAGTGCACCAAGCAAGGCAGTTCCCATCTGGCTCAATAAAAACTGCACTGGGAAACCTCTTCCAGAGACAAATATATATAGCACTTAGAAAGGAAATCAAATTAGGCTGACAATGAATGACTCTCAATTGCAGGCAAGTACTAAGGTGATCAGTTAAGAGAGAAGGAACTTGTGTCTACCTCTAAGTGTTATTTGTGTTTCCCCAGAAGATGACTCTTGCCATCACTGTGATAGACACAGGGCCTAGGAATGGGAAGCTAACAAGACTGAAAATGATCTTCCAAAAAATTAGGTCAATATTCAAGATATTTAAGTGCCAACTATTTAAAGGGGAAAGGAGAGCATTTATTAACATCATGTAGGATGACGAAGTATCAGTAATAAGCAGAGTTACTGAGCCAAGGGAAACACATGTAACTGCAATGCCCTAGCATAACCGTGGCATCCATTTTTATTAGAATATTACATAAACTAAAGGAATGAAGAAAAAGAAAAGGGAAATCTGAAGGAAGTAAATGAACGCAATAGTCTCCATAAATGTGCAAATCTTTTTCATTTAGATTAGTACGACATGAAACCAGGTGGCACAGATGCAGGACCGGCCTGTTATTTCCCTCCCCTCTATTAGAGAAGCTAACTCCTCTCTCTCTCCCAAACTCAGTGACTACTTCCACACATCACTGACGCATAGACAAATGATCGTCCCTCTTCCATGACTCTAAGGAGGAGGACTCTAAGGAGGAGATGGCTCTAAGGAGGGGAGGCTCATTAGGATCTGCCCATTCCTCTCACGCCAGTCCCCCCACCCCATCCCCAGGATGTGTGAGCGTCACCCATGATGGGCTGCCGTGATGGAGTGTCTGTTACTGGACCTGCATAAGGAAGGAAACAGCAAAGGCACTTCACCAGCCACTTCTCAGAGGAGAATTTCCTCCTGTGGAGAGCAGAGATGGGGAGGGAAGGGCTTGCCCATACACCTCCATTGAGGGCCCCTAACTACTAGTGTAAGGACCGACTTCCCCCTCACTTTATTTGAGGCAATCATCACAGAATCTGGTCAATTGTAAAAGTCACTGAAATTGGTCACATTAGAGGAGTTAAGCAAAGACGAACTAAAACATCTGCCATCCTAAAATTACATATAATCACACAAGTTTCGTTAAATTCCTTTAGAAAGCACTGAGAATGACACTAAGTTCTCTAATATTAAGATAAGCATGTGAATTCCCTCATTAAGATCTGATGAAATGCCATCTCTAAAACAAGACAGGAAATTGGAGCTGGAGCAATAGAACAGAGCGTAGGTACTTGCCTTGCACTCAGCCAGTCTGGGTTCAATTCCCTGGCATCCCAGAGCACCACCAGGAGTAATTCCTGAGTGCAATCCAGGAGGAACCCAACCACCCTCAAGGAGGGCCCACAAAACCAAAACCAAAAACCTCACCCCACCTCCGAAAAATACGAGAGGAAATTTTTATGGAAATATTAGATTATGTGAATTCTTCAAATGATATAATGCCAATTAGCCTCTTTGATACAATATACTAGCGAAATCCCCCTGATTACTATTCTGACATATTCCTGAAAATTGGATTGTCAACTGAATCATTCGTGTGTGTGTGTGTGTGTGTGTGTGTGTGTGTGTGTGTGTTGTGTGCGTGCACATACAGTGCTTGACATCCTAAGGCAGCTACACGAAAATCTCATTTTTTACTTTTGATGAACTATATCTTTTAAGCAGAAAGATAGTAAGCAAAAAAATTAAAAGAACTCTCTCTTCAATGAACTTAAATCTTAGCTTTCCTAAAGTTTTCATGGTAAAAAAAAAAAAAAGCTGCAAAGCCACACCATTTGAAAAGTTACATTAAGTACTTTGAAGGTGTCCAGCAGAACTTCCACCCTCAATCTGCGCATCTGCAAAGGACAGGCAAGCTGAGAGAGCAGAGCAGGAGCCCTGGGAGCTCCCTCAGAGCACACGCCCTGCAGGATCGCATGTTCCGAGTCAGGGCGAGCCCTGGACGCTCCCAGCACACTAGTTCGGCTGGCCTCCGCAGTCCCGGCATACATTTCAGGCCCAAGCACTGAACTTCCCGGCCCAGTTGATCTCTGGGACTCCTGAACTTGGAAGTTGCGCTTCCCAGACGCCAAACAAAAATGATCATTATCCACTCAATATGCTTAATTGTGGCTGAAATTAGACATTGTAAAAGTATGCAGTGATCATGTACTACCACTAAAGATTAAACATCTTTGTAGTTTGGTAAAATGGTCAGCACTGGAAAACCATTAGCAGGGGAAGAATAGTCTACTTACGCTTCCACCATGCTGCTCTAGCTTCTGTAATGCGCTGGTGATTGGCTCCTTGAACTTTTTGTTTCTTAGCCGCTTGGAAAGCTTAAAAAATAAAATTGGATAAATGAAATGATTTGGGAAAAAATAACAATATTCATTACCAAAGCAATAGTTCAGCAAGTAGACCACTTGCCTTACATGTGGCCAAACTGGATTATCCCCAGAACCCCCGTAGGGTCCCCAGAGCCCTGCCTCTGGACTCTTACGAACAGAGTCAGGAGGAGGCCTTGAGCACTGCTGGGTGTAACCCAAAACCAGAAACAAAAACAGATAAAAAAAAGATTCATCATAAAAATAGGAAAAACTTGACTAAAGAATAGGTTAAATAGAAAACACATCCATCCCTTTCAACAGAAATAAAGAGAAGAGATAGCAACTCAAAATGAGCAGAGGTGTTTCGCATGAATAATTCAGTGGCAGCTGCAGGCTCAGACTAGAAGTGCATCCGCCTAGCTCCAGGTATGTCCTGAGGGCATCTCGGTGGGACAGCTGGAACCAAGGTAAGTGATGACAGAATCCCAGGAGAGGAAAAGGGAAAAGTGTGATTCCCTTCTTAATCTGTCCCAGAAGCATGGCTGTACACAGCCACTTTCTGTGTGTGTGTGTGTGTGTGTGTGTGTGTGTGTGTGTGTGTGTGCGCGTGCACGCGCACACGTGCCCGCGACCCAGTAGCTAAGTGGGCAGAGCTCTTGATTTGACTTTCTGGGAATACGAAGAACGTCTGGGTAAAAATGAAGCACTGACGAGACCCTACAAGGGCCCTGAACTCTACCTGTTTTCCCTCTTTCTAGATATGACACTAATCTGGGAGTATCAAATAATAGGTTCCTTCAGCGGACCAAAGGTTACAGAGGGCCAGAAAAAAAAAAACCCAAAAATTAAAATGGAGAAAAGCAGTTGCCAAAGGAGGGGCGGGCAGAACCTAGCATTGCCTCAGGCATATAGGAAGGCCTTTGGACAGCTCTGCTGTAGGTGATTTTCAGATTGTCATCTGGAGCTGCCACCAGCAGATCCCAGGAGTGTCACAGAATCATCTTACAATATTCACTGAGGAATGTAAATTTAGGGGCTCTTCCCATTCTGAGCCAAGCAGAATCTCAGGGCTAAAATCTTGGCGGGGTCATCTGAACAGGATTCCAGGTCCTCTCTCTGGTCTTCCAAGCTTGAAGATCACTGACCCAGCCAGGGGGCTCTCAGTCAGAACTGAATGGAGCCCAGGAGGGACTGCACTTGCTTTGCATGTGACAACAATGAGACCACAAAGAGACCCCACTTAGGCTTGGTAAGTGGCTGTGAATGTCCCTTTGTAAAAGGGGAGCAATCTCATGCAGACCACTGAGAAGTGGGCCACAATGGGGCTGCTATGTTGCTAATAGCCCTGCTGACCGGGGTGGACTCTTCCCTGGCAGTGATTCCTCCCTCAGGGAAAGGAGGGCGCTGGGGAGGAGAACAGAATAGACACTGCACTGCTGCCCCAGCAAGATGCAAGGAATATCAAGGCGAACCTGCCTCGGTGGCCAAGTCAAATATTCTGGGCCTTGCTCAACACTGGGTCTAAGGACCCAATGTGACTTCGTTCCTTTCTATTTCCCTTCTGGCCCATCTTTCTCTCCACAGGCATCCTGTGATTTTGCTCTTCCCCACACCAAAGACTAGTCACCGCGAGGGCTGACAGTGTCCTCTACTTGTGCTCAGCATTATGTTCCCACTGTCCAGCATGATTTCCAGCACACAATAGTCGGCCCAGGGCAGCAGACTGGCGTTCCGCTATGTTCGTTAGAGTGAAGCCAGCAACCTAAGGCCAGTCCCCCAGTCCCCCAACACACTAATTCCGAAATTCTGGTCCTGACTCAGCCCCGTCCCAAGGGGCATATGAAGGTGACCTGCAAGCTTCTGCCAAGATTCTCATTTTGCTCCTGAATCTACTCTCCTTGTCTTCTTCCTACTGGTGGGGATTCCTCCTCCCACCATTCCTAATCTCTGCGCAGCCCTCGCCCTAGATCCGCCATGGTCCTCATTCCCACCCTACTGGTGGTGCCTGGGTGCTGTCACCTGCCATCACAGTGAAATGTTCTAGTTCGAGGACCTTTTGGGTGGGCAGTTCAGGAGAAAACAAGTGGAGTTGTAGGAACCCCTCATCTCTGAACAGAAGGGTGCAGAGTCCCCGCTGTTGGAAAGTGCTGAGGACTTAATCCACCATATCCTGTGAACAATCAAGGATTGGCTTTACAGACAGAAAGGTCTGCACGAACCCCTCCCCCTGGCTGTTAATGTGGGCTCTGTGTCCTGGGCACTGGGGCCCTAGCGGTGTCTAAGCAAACAGTGAAGCACAGGGAGAGCCTTGGAGAGTCTCGGGGCAGAGAAGAACGGCAGTTCCACTGCTGGAAAGGCGAGGGACTAGGAGACCGAGGAAGGGGGCAGGCTGCCAGTGTGACAGGCCCCTAGTCAAACCCTGCGCACTGCCCATCAGGGGCATATCCATGGCTGCTAACGCTTTCTGCATGTGCCACAGACCCAGCATGACTGAAACGGCCACCTTGCCGTTTTATCATCCATGACTTCAGAGCAAAGCAGGCAGAGAGAGAGGAACGGAGCTCTGATATGGCTCCTGCTGGGACAGCACAGGCCCAGAGAAGGCTGGGCCCCCTCTCAGAGCGCCAGCAGTAACCAAGGGTCATGATAAGGACAGGGAAGAGGACCGCCAACAGTTTCCAATTCGTCTTGACAACGGCCTGGCCCACAGAGATGGACTCTTAACTAGGTGGGCTCTTCCACCTGGGGCAGCTTGGGAGAAAACTCTAAAGCCAGCAAGCACACCAATTCCCTCTCCCTTTCCTCATCTTCCTCCCTCCCTCCTTCCCAACTCTCCTTCCCCTCCCTCTTCTCCCCACCCCATCACTTCTTCACCCCCTCCCCCAAATAAAAGCAGTTTTTACCAGTGTGTACATTGTACATTGTCTGTCTTCTCTCAAAATTCTTTTCTGCAAAGCAAAGCAAGGGACCTGGAAGCCTGGGTAAGATCCAGGACTTTCCTTCCTTGCAGACAGCAAATCCTCACAGCATCTCAGATGGCCAGGGGGACTGGAGAGATGGGGGGGGGGGGGGAGTGTGAAGGGTTTCCTTCCAGAGGTCACTGCCAGGCATCAGCAAGCGGGGGACATCCAGGCAGTCCCATCCCCAGTCTCCCCTGTACCCAGTGCTTAGTTAGGCCTATATTCACTCATTCAATAAACTCTAAGAGTCCTAACAGTTTTTCTGAGTCCTGAGAAACTTCAATCTCTGGGTGATCTTGGGGCCTTTCTAAACTGTAGTGTGTCCATGTAGATCTGTGGGAAGGGTTAAAACTACACCGACTGGGAAGCTTCTCCAGAATGCTCCTTACAAAAACACCTGAGAACTCACCCAAACAGCAACAACAAAACCGTAAGAAACACGGCTGTGGCAGTATATTATTATAACAAGAGGGTTGAAATGCTCTGCTCTCAGCTCATAGCTAATCAACACACGTTTCATGCCAGTATCCCAATCATTATTTTTTGCCCATTCCACTTATTACAAATATCAATCTGCTCTTGTAGGCACTTTACCATCAAAAAAGTATTTTTAAATCACAACGGAGATGTTACTGGGCCCGCTCGAGCAAACTGATGAACAACAGGAGGACAGCGCTACAGTGCTACTCTACTAATAAAACGTCATATGAAGAACTAGATTTTGTTTCTATACTTTGAATTAGGGTGAATAAGGTATTTAATCATTCCAAATCATTTAAAAGCCATTAGGAAGAGGAGACACGGGCAGTATAAGACACATGCACACAACTACTTTATAGTCTTCCTAGGACTTACACTCGTGAGCAGGTGTTTCAGATGATCCGTAAGAAAAGGGCCGACAGTGACACTTAACTGAACAAGAGCATCCAGTCCTCTCTCAAACACTTCATCATCCGAGTGAACCTGCAGTCGTGGGTTGATCAGGGAAGAAGGGCAGGAAGGGAATGAGGAGAAAGGGGAGGAAGCAGGGAGGAAAGCAGGGAGGAAAGCAGCAAGGGGGGGATTAAAAAAAGGAAGGATTCATCATTCAAAATCAAAAGAAAATCAAGCTAACATGAGTTAAAAGTAGTCGATAGACCAAACATGATTGCCACTCAAAGCCTCTCTTGCAAAACACAGTACCCAAAAGAAGAGAGAGAGACCAAGGGGGAATACCCTGCCACAGAGGCAGGATGGGACGGGGGGTGGGGTGGGATGCTGGGACCCGTGGTGATGGATGACGGGCACTGGTGGAGGGATGGGCACTTGATCACTGTATAACTGAAACCCAAGCACAAAATTTGTAAACCTATAACTGTACCTCATGGTGTTTCACTAATAAAAAAAGAAAAATAATAATAAAATAAAAATAGCACTGTAAAAAAAAATAAGTAACTTTAATATAGAACATCGAGAAGCTGAGAACACAATTTTGCCTTGACCTGAACCGTACCTAGACTAGATTTATACAGAAAGATTGGTTATTTTTTCTAGTCACCAATCATTGTTCATTATTTTTCTATTCAGTTTTTTTTTTACCTTATAACATCCCCTAAAGAATTACTTTATATAATCATTAAGTCCTGCATAAGTCCTGCATCATAGAGGCCTAATAGAACATAAACACCAACAGTATAGGTAGAGAATTTGCATATAATTTTGAAATCCAATTTTCAAATGCAATTTTGCTATTTATATAAAAAGAAACCTCAGTGAAGCACAAAAAGTCCAAATAAATCAAGTTCCTACCAGTGCAGCCTTTAGCACAGGAATCATCCTAGGAAGCAAAGGCACTGCTTTCTCAAGAGCACCGGGCACCAAAAGCAGTTCTCGAAAACCCTCCTTTGATACAAAGGTGTATGGATGTCTGGTCTCTCTCAGGCCCTGCAGAAGACAAAACCAAAAACAAACTAAAAAACACAATACAGTATGGTTTACTATCCTATGGACTACCCATTCGGGTAACTAAAAGTTTAAATCCTTATTAGTCTAGATGAAACTCATATATTACTCTTGTTTTATAATTGTCACATATAATTTCAATAATTATAATTTCAATTAAACTTAGAAAACATGAGACTAGGGCTGGAGTGATAGCACAGCTGGTAGGGCGTTTGCCTTGCACGCGGCCAACCCAGGTTCGATTCCCAGCATCCCATATGGTCCCCTGAGCACCGCCAGGAGTAATTGCTGAGTGCAGAACCAGGAGTAACCCCTGAGCATCGCTGGGTGTGGCCCACAAAGCAAAAAAAAAAAAAAAAAGAAAGAAAGAAAACATGAGACTAAAGACATATGTGGGACAGTTAGGATTTCTACCCCCTAAGAAACGAAGGAAGGGGAAAGAAAAATAATAAAAGGAACAGGAAAGGAATGGCAAGCAAAAACTTTTTTAAAATAAAAAATAAAATATGAAGAGAGAAGGAGAAGGGAGAGGAAAGCTAATGAGAGAAAAGATAAAAATTCATCAGGATACTAAAATTATTTTATCAATTTTTCCAAACTTTGCTTGAAACACAGCAAGTTACTAAAATACATGTTAATCAATGCCACTTTATGAATATATCACTATAGCAGAGATTCCCTACCATATGGCAAATGTACATTTTTCTCGATTATAAAATATTTTTCATATTTAAACATCCTCAAGCACTAAAATGGGAGTAGTCCCAGCATTACTGAGTATGATGCCAAGATTTTGAGAGATGGAGAGAGACAAATGTTTTGTTCACTTAGTTTATCAACTTTGAACAGCCATTTCTCTGTTCAAATAATAATGTTGCACATTTCTTACATTCACTGGGATTTGGTCACATAAGAATTAAAATCACTTGATCACTTGCTACCCCGTTACTCATCAATTTACTCAAGTGGGTGCCAGTAACGTCTCCATTTATCCCTGTTGCGTGCTAGCATAGCCCAATGGCATCTGCTCATTCTAGGAACATGCAGAGCCTCAAACCAATCATTCAGGGTCTTGACGAAGAAATCTGACCATCTTGTAGGTGGGCGTACACACGATCTTTCGACGTCCTGTGGAATCCATCGGTAATGGCTCTAGTCCAGCAGTCGTCTCTAAATCTCATTATGTGTCCAGCCCATCTGATTTTTGATGCCTTGGCAAATGAGACAGCATCCCTGATTCTTGAGCGTTAACGGAGATCAGAACTCCGGATTCTATCTCTCATTTGAGTGAAGCGTGATACTCCAAGCATAGCTCTTTCCATTCCTCTTTGGGAGACCCGAATAGCGTTCTCATCCAGTTCACGTAGGGGCCAGGTCTCTGAGGAATATGTTAATGCAGGAAGAACAGAGGAATCGAAGAGATGTGCTCAGAGTTAAAGGTTCTTTGTCCTCTTAGTAATTTCTTCAACGCTCTTGAAGGCATTCCAAGCCGCTCTCTTCCTCCTGCGTAACTCAGGTGCCAGATCATTCATCATGTTGATTTCTCGACCTAGGTATATATATAACTGTTGCATTCGGAGATGGTGGTTCCATTGAGAGTGAATGGAACATCGGGAACAAGACTGAACATTGTCTTTGTGAGATTCAGTTGTAATCCGACCTTTCCACACTCTCGGTCGAAGTTGGTCAGCATTTGTGCTGCTTGGCTGATGTTTGGTGTTATTAGAACGATGTCATCAGCAAAGCAGAGGTGGTGTAGTTGCCGACCATCTATCTTTACTCCAATTTCTTCCCATTCCAGTCATCGCATGATGTTCTCAAGGGTGGCACTGAAGAGTTTTGGTGAAATGGTATCACCCTGCTGAACGCCTCTCTTGATATGGATGATTACTTCTTTGTAGAATGGTGAGATCCTGGTAGTGTATCCGTAATAGAGCTCACAGAGGATCCTGATGTATTGAGTTTGTATGCCGATTGGCTAGGGCTTCCATGACGGCTTCCGTCTCAACAGAATCAAAGGCTGTGTAAACTCACACAAAGGGGGGGCACGGCACACAGTGGCGGTGGCTCTATCTCTCCCGCCGCCCACGTTCGGTAGTCTCACCCTTCTTCCCCCCAGGGAGGCCGATGGCGATGGTCAGGCGGAGGAAGGAAACGAGGGCCAGGCTGGTTGGTATTAGTAGCAGTTTATTTCATTCCTCTCTCCATCTACACCAGTCTCTCTTGTCTGTCTCTGCTCCCCTATGCCCAATCTACAGTCTCATTATATCTCTCTCCAAGAGGAATTGGGGGAACAATTACACGTAGGTGTGGTCACAATCAATAGGGGTAGAACTCTTAGCCTCAGGGAAAGCCGCTCCTAGGACAGATCCTCTCTCAGCATGAGGACCCACCCTAGAGCTGAATACTATGGGTGTGTCTCTCCTCTCCTTGTCCAACAAGCATATAAGCCTAAATGATATAAATCATTTTGTATGGATACAGTAAGAAATATCTTAAACTTATAGAATTGCTCTCCTAGGGCCATCTTGATCTCAGACTACAGTGCTCAGGCCAGATAGTCTTTCCCATTCCTAGCAGGATCCTAGTCTCGTCGTTACCTTTGGATCATGACAGCATTTGTCTATGATCAAACTCTTATAGTTAAGAACCGTGGCACTTTGGCCTGGCCCATTTTGATCCCAGGGTTGCTCACTGCTTGCCCTGGGTCCATTCAGTCCCTCGTCAGGACCCTGCTTTGGGGGTGTTAGGAACTAAGGGGAACTGAGGCTTAAGTCGAGAAAGCAGATGCCTGGGAGTGAATAATATTCAAAGCCAATCAAATCCTAAATTACAAAGCATAATGTTAACGGTCTTCCTGTATCTATACAAAAAGGATATTACTTTAAGGTAAACTGCTCATAAGGCATAAGGAGAGGAGAAAGGCAATATTTCACTCATACATATAAAATCATAGATTTCTGGGAAACTGATCTTACAAATTAACTGTCTGATTAAGGGGAAAGCTGATTAACTGGGTGGGAAGGAGAGCATAGGGAAGACTGTTTACAATGGAAGTGGAAGTGCTTCAGGAACACTGTGATGGGTGTAACCAGACTGATGGGTGTAACCAGATAAACCTAAGCTTCTTGTGGAAGAAGGACAAAACAATGTTATCCTACAAAAGGCCTTCTTTAAATTAATGAACATTAGACAGAGCAGCATCTTGAACTCCTGAGAAACCTCAATGAGCTTGGTTATCATGTGGATATGGTCGATGGTGCTGAATCCTTTTCGGAACCCGGCTTGTTTGCATGGTTGTCCTTCATCTAGTGTTCTGCCAATCCTATTCAGGATGACTCGAGTGAACAGTTTGTAGATGACAGACAATAGGCAGATTGGGCGATAGTTGCCAATGTCGTGGATGTCTCCCTTCTTGTATAGTAGTACAGTCCTGCTGGTTTTCCATTGGGATGGAACCTTGCATTCAGACAGGTAGCGTGTGAAGAGCTGAGCCAGTGTATTGATGAGTACTGACGGTAAGTTCTTCAGGTGTTCAAGTCTGACCTTGTCTGGGCCAGGTGCTCTTTGTTTCTTTACCGACAAGATGGCATGTTGGATTTCGGAAGGGAGAACATTGGGAACAACATATCCATCCTGCGGAATTTGGTATGTGGGCAAGTAGATATGGCTATTAAAGAGATATGAGTAGAAGTCATGAATAATCTTCTCCATTGCCCTTCTAGAAATGTGATAGATCCATCAGGATGTCGGACGGCAGTCATCTTGGTCTTGTAGTTGGTGAAGGACAGGCGGGCATTACGAATGCTTTTCCCAGCTTCTGCCGCATCTACCGGCACTGCTGCTCTCCTGTCTTTGAGGTCATCCTTGATCACTTTTCTCCACTGCCAGCTCGGAAGTTCGCTTCCGATTGCCTGAGGCATGTGCCAAGCCACATTGGTGAATAAGTTCAAGAGTGTTCGAAGAAAGGTGTTTTTTTTGTGTGTGTGGTTATCTCTCTCTTGGCATTCCTTGCACAATCATGGAGGTGCTGAATCATTCGATCATATTCCTCATCAATGTTGTCAATGACGGCATCTTCCCATGTTGCCGTAACAGAGCCAAAGAGCTCCCAGTTGGTGGTCGTTCTGGGAGATCTCTTCTTAAACTTTACATTCTTTTCTCCCCATTCTGTGAGGTAGAATTTTGCACGAAGGGGATGGTGGTCCGATTCCATTTGGAATTTTGGGACAACAGCAACATCGGTTAGGCAAAACCACTGATTGAATATGATGTGGTCTATTTCATTGTGGAACCGTCCACTATGAGACTCCCATGTCCAATGTTTAGCCTTTTGGAACTGTGAGTTACCATGGATGGTCTTGGTATTAAAATCACGATCATCCTGTTGTATGTCGATTTCCTCAAGCGGGCACCAGTAATGTCTCCTTCTTTCTAGCCCTGAGATTTTAAAAGAGCCATTTCAATGCTCTTTCAGGATTAGGAGAATGAGACCCATCATTGTTACTGGTATTCAGCATATTGAGTACGACACGGGAAGTTTGCCAGACTCTGCCGTGCGGGCAGGATACTTTTGGTAGCCTGCCAGGTTCTCCAAAGGAAAGATAAGATAATAAGATGTCGCGTGGCTGCATTTGTGGCCTCGCGCTTCTGGGAGCTGGGTTTTATAGTCTCTGTGTCTTGGTCATTGATGGGACCAACCTGGCACTGGCGGCAGCTGGTGGGTGTGACACCTACCTACTGGAAGACTGAGGGTCTAGGTGGAGAAGGCCCAGTCCCAATCCGAGTAGGCTTGGAGACCTCAGCCCCGGGACCCACATGCATGGGTTCCTCTGCCAGTTCTTCCATGCATGAGGCCCGTCCGGACGTGTGGAGAGTGGTCCCAAAATGGCCGTGGCTGGTATTAAAATATGTAATGGTAATTAAATATGAAGGAAAATAGATATTAAGTATTTGCTTGAGGAAACTGGAATTTCCGGGAGCTTGTGGATCACATTTTGAAAACTGTTGAGCTAGAATAATGAAATAAAGAAACATATAACCCCAAATTATCTCTTAAGAGCAAATGCTTTTTATATGATTCAAAAGAGATATAATGCTACTATCTTTTTCTTACAGCAGGTAGAGTGTTTGCCTTGCACGTGGCCGAGCCAGGTTTGATTCCTCCATTCCTCTCGGAGAGTCCAGCAAGCTACTGAGAGTATCCTACCTGCACGGCAAAGCCTGGCAAGCTCCCCATGGAGTATTCGATATGCCAAACACAGTAACAACAAGTCTCACAATGGAGATGTTATTGGTGCCCACTCAAGCAAATCAATGAATAATGGGAGGACAGTGCTACAGCGCTATTTACATGTTTTATTACCACATACTAAAATATATAGAAGACAAATCTTTCACTATTTCACATCATTGGTCACACTGGAATGTGAAATTAGAATATGAAGAAAGATATTGTTTCTCAATATACCTTTTACCCTAGATGCATTAAGATCATTTATGATTTATTATTTATGACCCCTTGTGTCAAGATCCCTCAGTTAATCTCATTATTAATTATCCATGAATAAGTCCAACTACAGTAAGATCTGAAAATATATTGTCCAGTCACTTTGCCGTTTGGATTGAACAGCATTTGCTTCAATAGTAAACTCTTTGCTTCAAGTTGCTTATTGACAATAAAAAGCCGTTTGTTTCCTTTCCTGAATGCTCTCAAGTTTCAGGAAACTATGCTCGGACACTCGCACTTACTTAGAAAAGCAGACTGTGAAACCTGCAGCATCCAGATTCTGCTCATCTTAGAGATGAGGAATCTCAGGTCAAAAGGAAATGAAAAACTTTTCTTCTGATTTTTGTCTTTTCGGCAACACCAAGGTTTTCACTTGTGCTCTGGGATTCTTCCTGGCTCTATGCTCAGAAATCACCCTTGGCATGGCTCGGGGACTACATGGGGTGCCGGGGATCGAACAAAGGTTGGCAGCTTGCACGACAGGCACCTCCCCCAGCGGTCCTATTGCTCCAGCCCCCAGTTATGTGAATTTACTAGTTCGGGTTCTGTCAGTGCCTCCCATTATATTACACGCATAGAGGGGAAGGTTAAAACACAACTCAAGGCAGAAATAAAAATATCGGTGTTTGGAAAACAGGGGTAATTTCAGGCAGCCTAACTGAAGCTTTAGGATTCCTTTGTGGAAGCACTTAGCCTTCCTTGTAAATAGCTGGACTGTTTTTTCATATTTTTTTCTTTCTGTTTTTGGTTTTTTGGCTCATGCCCAGCAGTGCTCAGGGATACTCCTAATTCTGCACTCTGGGATGACCCTCACAGGGCTCAGGGGACCATATGGAATGCTAGCGACTGTGCCCAGGATAGCCTTGTAAAAGGCAAGCACCCTACCTGCTCTACTTTCTTATGCCCTCTGAGATACATGTCAAAGTTATCACCACAGTTTTTGTTTATGTAAAATTCAGTTTGTTTGTTTGGTTGGTTGGTTTTGGGGACACACTAAGTGGTGCTCAGGGATCACACTTGCATAGATTTGGCGTACCACATGGGTGGCAGAGATGTGACCTGGTTTTGCCGCCTAGAAGGCAAATGCCCTACCCACTGTTCTATTGCTCGGGCACAGAAGCTGGCATTTTGAAAAACACTTACGTTCAGCTGTTTTTTTTTCTTCAAAATTCAAGTTTAGTAATAAGTTATAATGTAAAATTGAATGCAATTTGAAGAGATTTATTTCCAAAAACACTCAGAAATGATACAAAGTTAATTTACCTCTGCTAAAGTAATAAGAAGAGGATCAAATGCAAGAGTCTCTGGAGGGCATTCCCACCGCAGCCTGTGCTTCACGGAACCATGGACCAACCTAAAACAGAAAAGCAGTGACAGCAACGAGGAAAAGAGGATGCATGATGTACTCTATGTAAAGCAATAATGAATATACACATATTTTATAGGACATAATAGTATTAAACTATATTTTTTAACATGTAGGAATGCTGTGGTTTTAAATAAACTCTAAAGAAATCTTATAATGCAATACCTATCATCTTACGAAGTCTTATTTTTCAGCAAGACTCTTGGTGGCAAAATGAAACTACCATGCATTTGTTCAGTCTGTGGTTTTGAAGCCCAGATGTGTTGCTACTGTATGTCTTAATGCAAGGGACACATTTGTTTCTCTTCAGTAAGGATTCCAAGAGAGGAAGGAGGCAGAAAAGAACATGAAACATGTGGACAGACAATGTGCTCTTAGAAATTATAACCCATCCTAGAAGCGCCTTGTCCCTGGGGCCCTTGTCTTAACCTGCACACTCCGGGCATGAAGTGAGTCAAAGAGGAGAAGGCCAGCCCCAGGGACGCAAAGCAGTCCCTGGGTCAGTCACTGCAGCTGCTGGTTTGCAGCCTTTACCGCAACAGACATGGCCTAAGCTGCACATATTTAAACTGTAAACGTGTCGTTTTATCAACTCCCCCCCCCCCCCCTTCATGACTCTCTGTCTCCCTTTTTAGTGCTGTTTTCATAACCACAAGAGGCCAGGCTAACATTCTATTTTATAGCTACAGTAAAAAAAAAAAAAACACAGTCCCAAGCACGGGAAGGAGCTGAAAATTCTTAAAATGAGGCTCCAGCTCTGAGAGTCGATGCTAACTGTAAAAGGAAAGACAAAGTGGAATGTGTCTTGAGTTTCTCTTCCACTGCATTGGCTTCATCTGGCTCAAGCTAGAGCACATGTGCAGGGCCCTGGGGTCAGGTCGGCAACACTGGCCCAGCACCACTTGTGAGCTCTCCACAGTGACCGAGAAATAAACAAATACTGTTGTAGCTTTTTGTACTCCAGGGAGGCCCAGGTCTTAGACACATATCTCTTTCTCTCCTCTTACATTTCTCTAGGTGAATTTCTTTAAAGAAAAGTATTTCAATACACACACACACACACACACACACGAGAAACACAATTTGGATATTTTTGTATTTCTGTAATATGATTTCAAAAAATAACAAAACAAATGAAAATGTCAGCCTTCAGTTGACAAGCAAAATAGGATTACTTATTCACAACGTGCCCAAGCCAGGGAGTGCTTAAGTTATTTTAGAAAAGTCAGTCAATTTATTAAATTATTTGGTGGTTCACTGGAGATCTATTAGTAATTCTATTTTGGAATGAAAATGCTTTTCTTCAGCAATATTCCAGGATCTATAATAATCTAGCAAAATGCGAATAAGTCACTTTTATTTCAATCTCCCTCAATAAAACTTTCAATTTACTTACACTGAATATTGTATTGATCTTACTCAGCTATTCTGACTAAAACGGTCAGTTACAACTTGTATTGATTTTACCTGCAAGGAATACCCCCTTTCGAGTAAATAGCCGCAAACGCAGAAGGGGCTCGTGACTGTTCACCAAACTGAAATCAAAGAAATAACAAAGATACAATAAATATTGCTATTCCCGCCACGATGTGATATTGATAATCAATTTTAATCCTCCGGGGGTCAGAGGCAGACACTCTGCAAAGGCACTGCACAGGCAACAAGCATATTAATTACCCAGAACCAGTCCGAGACAGTTTTCAGAAATCACAAACACAAAGATAGTCTGTGTATTTACTTTTTTCACGGTAAGTGGTTTTAGGAGACTTGAAGGTACCAAAAATCGAATGCAATACAAGTATAGCACTGAACTGTAGCACTGTCGTCCTGTCGTTCATCGATTTGCTCGAATGGGCACCAGTAACATCTAGACTTGCTGTTACTGTTTTTGGCATATAGAATACACCACGGGGGAAGGAGGGGGGGGCTTGCCAGGCTTTGCCATTCAGGTAGGATACTCTCAGCTGCTTTCTGGGCTCTCTGAGGGGGACAGAAGAATCGAAGTTGGGTCAGCCCCGTGGAAGGCAAACACCCTACCCACTGTGCTACCGTTCCAGCCCAAATATATTAAGTATAAATACAAGAATGAAATAGAGTAATGACAGTACACCCTCCCATCTCTTCACCTGCTATAAGCTTTGAGGTGAGAGCTAGAGGCAGAAGTGGTGGCAGGCACAGGGAAAGTAGATTTGTAAAAGACAAAAGTTGTTTTTATTTCTTTTTGGGTCACACCCAGTGACGCTCAGGGGTTACTCCTGGCTTTGCACTTGGGAATCACTCCTGGCAGTGCTCGGGGGACCATATGGGATGCTGGGAATGGAACCAGGGTCGGCCGCGTGCAAGGCAAATGCCCTACCCACTGTGCTATTGCTCCAGCCCCGAAAAGACAAAAGTTTTAAGTCAAATTATGTAAGTGAAATGTCACGAAAATACTGTATTTAAAAATTTATTTAAAAAACTCAAAACCAGGAGGTATGGTGCCACCAGCAGGTCAATCTGTACCTGTGAGGCGAGTGTATCAGCAGCCTGATGGCACCATCAGACTTTCAGATACCCCAAAATTGCTGCTGTGCCTTTGGCCAGACCCCAAAAACTTGGGGCAAAGTTTACCAAGAAAGTAAATGGCCAAAAGTTAGGTCTGTGGGAGACACACCCACAAACCACCTCCGGCTCAGCTATATAATTGGAGGCATGCCGTCTCTCATTCCTAATCGAACTGCTTAACGGCTATGATCCCAGAGACTCAGAAACAAATCTCGGAACTCAAAGGCTTTTGACAGAAATGTGTCCTGTTCCTACAGTAGGTTACTGGGGCTGGGCCACTCCAGGTGGGAATAGGTTTCGTGCCTTGGCCTGTTCCCCTTGGCGGCATGGTGACTGCCATCCTTCAGAGGCCACTGGACAGTCAGGTTTGGGCTTGCAGTGACGAGACACGGGGGGGGGGGGGGGGGGGGGGGGGCGCCCTCACCAGATGGAGGTGAAACCGGCCCTTTCCTCCCCATCCCAGCGTGACCCCGAGTCGCTGCCTACAAATGGCCTCTCTGGCTCCTGATCAAGCTGATTAATGGCCATGATCCCAGAGACTCAGAAACAAATCTTGAAACTCAGCAGCTTTTGGCAGAAATGCATCTGGACTGCATACAAGGTGGCCGCCGCCTCAGAGCTTATTGGAAAGCCAGGTGTGAGCCAGCGGTGATGGGGCAACTGCAGTCTCATGGGAAGGGAGGTGGTACCGGCTCATCCTTCACGCCCTACCGATGTCACAAGTTGCCCCCCACGAGTGGTTCTCCGGCACAGCCATGGCTCTAGAAGCAAAAGTACTCAATCCAAAGCCCGAGAGCTTGCGGCAGAAAAGTGAATGGACCATGTGTTAAACTACAGCGCCATGCCTCCCTGGGAGAGAAAGGGTGTTGCTTCCTTCCACCTCCCCAGCCCCTCCCCCACCCCGGCAGCAAGGTGGCCACCACCTCAGAGCTTATTGGAAAGCCAGGTATGAGCCAGTGGTGATGGGGAAACTGCAGTCTCATGGGAAGGGGGATGGTACCGGCTCGTCCTTCACACCCTACCAAGGTCAAGAGTTGCCCCCGACAAGTGACTCTCTGGCATGACCATGGCTCCAGAGGCAAAAGGACTTAATCCAGAACCCAGCAGCTTGCAGCAGAAAAGTGAATGGACCATGCGTTCAACTACAGCGCCATGCCTCCCTGGGAGGGAAAGGGTGTTGCTCCCTTCCACTTCCCCCCTCCTGCCCGGCAGCAAGGTGGCCACCGCCTCAGAGCTTATAGGAAAGCCAGGTAAGAGCCGGCAGTGATGGGGCAACTGCAGTCTCAAGGGAAGGGGGGCAGTACCAGCTCATCCTTCATGCCCTACCGAGGTCACGAGTTGCCCCCCACGAGCAGCTCTCCGGCAGGGCCATAACACCAGACACACAGAAACCAATCTCATAATTATCTGGCTCTTTGCAGAAATCCAAAATCATTATATGATTCTCATAACCGGCTATAGAAAACAAAGTATTTCACAATGCCTTTTCAGCAATTCTGATTGTTGTGGGGGAAATTCTAAACAATAATGGTGGATCTTTTGTCGAAATAATGAATGTAATCAATGTAGAGGAGAGTTAAGTGGAAATCATCTGCTTTACAGGCATTGGGAGGGGTGGCAGGGGGGTATTTTGGGGTTCTTGGTGGTGAAAAATGAGTACTGAAGGGAGAGGTGTTTGATCATTGTATGACTGAGACTTAAACCTGAAAGCTTCGTAACTTTTCCCACAGTGATTCAATACATAAATATAAGAAAAATAAATAAATAAAACTATGAAAAAAAACGTAAGGTGGAGTTCATGCTCAATTCAATCAGCTAATCAGTGGCTGAATAAATAGCAGTAGTCCTACATAAAAAAAAAAAACCTCAAAACCTGGATCACGTCAGAAATGATCCACAGTAATGTCTCATTTATCTAGGTCTATTTCCTATAATTGTGCAATTTTAGAAGAACAGGACTGTTCAATCTGGTTAAATTACTATAGTCAGGATTTCTCATGGACCTAATTTGTACTTCAGCAAGAAATGCCCAGACCTTTATGTAACTAATGGCAGCATGCAACTGAATACCAGTGATATTAGGATACGCTGTTATTAGGAAATCAAATACAGTGTAAATTAAAAAATTCAAGTGGCTAAGCAATACATGTTACATGCTACAGCACCCATTCATGAATGAAAAAGGACAACCAAAAGCTGGTTTGTCTCTCTGTCTTCTCACCCTCACACTCGTACCCCACATCATCGCATCATTAACTACACCCTGACAGCATTAGAAGTTGAAAACTACGAAATGAGGCGCAACACTCAACACAGTTCAACAGTCTCCTAACTCTACTGAGTCACAAATGCCTTTTGTACCTACTGGGTTAATTGTTTTGGGGTTAAGTTTATCACTTGGTCGAGGATGAAGCTTTCTGGAAGATTCTGGAGAACTGGTTGATGATGGAGACTTGCTTTGTTGAAGTGGAGTCCTGGGCTTTATCTGGGTGCTTGATGATGTTCTTGGATCACAGGTACCTGGACCAAACAGATCATCAACAACAAAAAAAAAAAAAAAAAAAGAAGAAGAAAAAAAAAGGGAGGTGAAAGCAGTAAGGCTCTGCCCCATAACTGCCTCTGCAAGAGAATGTGCCACTAACAAACTTAAAAATTTCACTGCTTTGTTTAAAAACCAAGTTCTGTACCTGCCACTCTGTTTCTGCACGGCACCCCTCCATGGCACTCTGATTTCTGCATTGCTTCCTGCAGCTAAAGGAAACAGAATTTCAAAATCTGGGGGGCCATGGGGGTGGGGGCGTTCATCAACAATATAAAGACATAACTAGAATAGAATAGAAAATAAGAGTCGAAGGCAATAAGACAGATAGTGGAGAGGTTCTGCCTCACCCCATTTCAATCCCCCAGTACCCCATCAGTCCCCCCAACATCAAAAGGTGCAGCCCGGAAGATCCCAAAGCACAACCAGGTGGCCCCTGGAAGTCCCTCCATTCCATCCCTCCTGTTCAGCCCCTCCAGCCGTGATAATGTGACAGCTGGCAGCACAGGACCCTCAGGTAGCTACGAGTCACTGGGAGCGGCTCAAGGCCCCCTCTGAACACTGTTTAATAATTTGAGCTCTACCATAAATGGTTCTTTACACTGTTTCTTTTGGCTGAAAATAGCTGCCAGAGCTGAAGACAGATGCCTGTTTACGGGCATGAAAAGTGCATAGTTAGCCACGTAAGGCTCATGTGTGACTTGTCAACCCACCATGCTCAGGTTTGTGCTGGAGCAGCTGAATGTTTCCCTTTCTCTCAAAATGTTGCTGCTGAGAAAGTATTTTGATGCTTTTTTGCATGACTTCCTAAAGTCGCTGAACCTCACTCGCTTTTTAAAATGCTCAAGCTGGAGTTTCCGAAGATTTTCCAACTACAGGGCGGTTTGAATGTGCAACAGGCAACTTTCCGCAGCACCATGTCAATGCAGACACCTCTATGTTCACTTTAAAAATACCCTAATTCTCCAGCGTTTCTTCCCCAAACAATCGACTCTCCCTATTGCTAAAAGTAGCACCCTTCGTGAACAAATTGTGCTCAACTGAAAAGGAAAACAAAAGCCATCATCTAGGAGCTGACAACACACCTGGAGCAAGGGCTGCTGGTAAAAGGGCTGAAAAATCCTCACACTCAACTACTCTCTGTGTGATTTGTTACTAGTAAGCAAACAGGTGTGAAAGTAAAACGACGTAGGTGGAAGAAACTAAAAAGATTCACATTTTCGTCTAAAATATTACATAACACTAAAAGCATAAGCTAAGCTAGCTTAGTAGGAGTGTATCATCCTTTTACAAAACGAGGTCAGTCCCTACACAGACACACCAGAACCCATAAACTCATTTAACAAGTTACAATCTCATCGAGCATACAGATCAATTATAGACCCACTTGTGGAGCCCTCCTTTTGTCCCTGGGTTTCCTTGGAGGCTGCAGGGTACCCACAAGGCTCCAGGGTTAGGGAAGAACTGTCGATGTTTTGATCAGCCTACTGAGCCTTTCTTTCCCTGGTCGCCCGCGGCTCCAGCCTCCTGCCGGGGCGGGGGAACGGGGGGGGGGGGGGTCACCGCACTAAACCGAGGGCTAAAAAGCTCAACGCAGCTTCCAGAAACTTGATTTCCGACTGTTAACAGAGCGCCTGGAAAGTTCCAAAAAGTAAGGGGCGTCCCGCTAGCGCAGCCTGGATGCCCTCTCTAGAACTCTCTCGAAAGTCCACGGCCAGCAAAGACAATGCTGCCCTCCCCACCCCACTCCCCCCCATAAAGTAAATCCGAAGGGTCAGTATTAAGATGAAAAAAAGTTTTTTGCACTTTTCCAGGTACGTGCCACTGCAACACCATTTCCAAGTATCTCAAAACAGTTGTGAAAATTAGAAAAATTAAGAAAACCAGAGATGGGGGGAGGGGACCGAGGGGACGGGGTTACAGTGATTGCTCAGGAAAGCTTCTCGAAGCCAAAGCCCAACCCCAAGAACCCGAGGACCGGTCGGGGGATCCGAGCATCCCCAGGTCCTTAGCAACGGGGACCGGCGGCCCTAGCAACAGGCCAGCGCGGCCGCCCGCGACCGCCGCCTCGGGGACCCCGACCCTACCGCGCCGCTCTCCCGCCGCCGAGGTCCACACACTGCCACGCCCCCCGGGCGGGGCTTTCGGAAGCGACGGCGGCGCCCACCCAGCCACTGTGGCCACCACCAGCCGCCCGCGGAAAAGCGACGCGAAGCCTCGCGCGGCGCCCGGATCCGATGGCGCCGGGCATTGACGTCACGCGCACGCGACGTCCTTTGAGCCAATAGGAAGAAAGCGGAAAGACGACGGCGAGGGGCGTTGCCTTGGCAACGAGACGCCGGGCGGCAAGGGGTGGCTCTGGGTTCCAGGTGCTGATTTCTAGTTCCATAGGGGCTCCAGGTGCAGAATTTTTTTTTTTTCCAATAAGGGGTCGGTTGGATCGTTGTATAACTGAAACCTGGTCATGATCAGCCTTATAACTATCCACGGTGACTCAATTAAAAAAATTAAAATTTAAAAATCAATCAATAAACAAGGAGTCTGAGGAGCACAGGAGATGCACTGGCTCTAGGTACCAGGGCCACAGCCTCTTCCTAAGGCGCGTTCTTAATTCTTACCCTGAGCTCGTACGTTAAAACGCTCCGCGTTCAGTTATCTTGCCTTGAGAGCTGAGGACGGTGAAGTCTTGAGGGGAGAAGAACCTGGTGCCCAGCTGTGGGATTTGCTCCGGGTCCTCGCTTAATTGCTTCAGATGCCGTTTCCTTAACTCCATTTCAGCAATGAAAAGCATGCGTGTTTTAAAGCTCCAGGTTATTTTAATAAAATTGTTGCGGCAAAAAGCATTTTCTGAGTCCCACTCAATTGCTGAGGAAACAAAAAGACGCAGTTCCCATTCCGAAGAGGCGGGTTTCGGAGCCGACACACTCGGCTGCTGCGGGGTTCTCTCCGCAAACCCTCTTGCTTGGGGTTCCACTCACTTCACTGGGTAGAAGCACCCAGGTAAAGGAACACGCGGGTAAAGTGAGAACTGCAGCGCGCGCACACGTGGCCACCAGAGGTCGCACTTCCCGCGGGTGTCGCCTACATCTTCCATCTAAGTCTTGCTTGACAAAAGCCACACCCCTTTTAGTCACGCTTAAAACTCACAGCTATGATATAGCTAAAAATCTCTTGCCAGGGAGGAGCTGCCTTGGTCTGCAGAGCTGCCAGGATTTTAATTGCTACACGTGGAGCCCGGGCTTTGAACTCCTGACCAGCGAGGGAGGCACTCTCGACACTGCCCTTTTCATCGAGGCCCTCTGTCCTCACCTTAGAAATAAAAACTGTTCCTGGGCATCTTAGCTTCTCAGAGAATGCAGTAGATAGTGAATGCACTCGCATACAGGAGTTTGAGAAGCCTTGGAGATATCTAGGCAAAGCTAACTAGGAGAGAGTTGGGTATGCCCATTAAGAATGGAGTGTAATCAATAGTAAAATCATATAAAAATAAATTTACACCTTAAAATTTAAAAAGGAATGGAGTGTCAGGGCAGGGCTAGGCAAAGGTATTTTTATAGTAACCGAGGCCAGAGGGACAGGCCGGTACTTCTGAGATCACCTGTCACATGTGAGAAGCTGAAAAGAGGGAGCATGCTTTAAGGTTTGATATTTTGGGGGGGTGGGGGAGGGAGCAAGGCAGGAGGTTGAGGAGGTTCTTCTATGTATCTACAATTATTATAAATGGTTCTGAAAAGACACAATCTTGTCTTTGCATGCATGTATCTCCCCTTTATCCCTACAGATCTACTCTTCTTATTCCCCACCCTTCTCAACTCCAGAAGTGATCTGAATGGATTAATATCAACAAGACTTTGACGCCCACTGAAGTCCATCTGGATCTGGCCATGACAAGCTCCCAGAGGAAAATGGACAATGGTGGAGGACAGAGGAAAGTTAAACTATTTTTCTCCTCCTTGGGAGCTGGAGGTATTTCCTTGGAACTAGTTCCTCCCTGTGGAAACGGCACCTTCCTTTGAAGTGACCAACTCAAGGACTAAATGTGTGAAATCTAAGATAGAACTTTGATAATGTAATGTTCCTGAGGTTCCTCTGCTCTGTAAATAAAGCTTTGTTCCTTTAAATGTCACACACTAGGGGGTATGGTGCCGCCAGCAGGTCAATCTGTACCTGTGAGGCAAGTGCATCAGCAGCCTGATGGCACCGTCAGACTTTCAGATACCCCCAAATTGCTGCTGTGCCTTTTTCCAGACCCCAAAAACTTGGGACAAAGTTTACCAAGAAAGTAAATGGCCAAAAGTTAGGTCTGTGGGAGACACACTCACAAACCACCTCCGGCTCAGCTATATTATTGGAGACATGGCCTCTCTGGTTCCTGATTGAACTGCTTAATGGCCATGATCTCAGAGACTCAGAAACAAATCTCGAAACCGAGTGGCTTTTGCAGAAATGCGTCAAGACCCCACAGTACATTACTGTTGCCGGGCCACCCCGGGGGGAAGGGGTGCTGCCCCTCTGCCTGCTCCCCCTTGGTGGCTCGGTGGCCATCATCCTCCAGAGGCCATTGAACAGTCAGGCTTGGGCCCACAGTGACAAAACTTGTGGGACCTCACGGGAGATGGGCCTGCCCTCCCCACCCCAACGAGACCCCAAGTCATCTCCCACAAACGGCCTCTCTGGCTCCTGATCAAGCTGCTCAACGGCCATGATCCCAGAGACTGAGGAGCAAATCTCAAAGCCCAGTGGCTTTTGGCAGAAATCCCTCCAGATTTAAATGTTAAAATTTCGGAATTTCAAAATCACATGGTCCTACTGCAGCCACGCGACATCGTATGTTATTCATAACCAGTAGTAGAACACAAATTGTCTACTGTTGCCTTTTCAGCAGATCTGAGTGTTGGGGTAAAGTCAAATAATAATGGTGGGTCTGGTGTCGAAATATTCAATGTGAGAGAGTAATGTGAGAGAGAGAGGGCAATGTGGAAATCATCTGCCCCACAGGTAGGGGGAGGGTGGGGATGGGGATATACTGGGGTTTTTGGTGGTGGAGAATGGGGCACTGGTGAAGGTACGGGTGTTTCATTGTATGACCGAGACTTAGACCCGAAAGCTTTGTAACTGCTCTCATCGTGATTCAATAAATAAAATTATAAAAAATGGAAAAAAAAAGTAAAGTGGAGTTCATGCACAATTCAATCAGCTAAGCAATGGCTGAATAAATAGAATTACTCCTACATTAAAACAAATCAAGAGTACTTTAAAAAGATTTTTGTTTTGGAGCCACACCTGTTGGTGCTCAGGGTTTGCCTGGCTGTGCACTCAAGAGATCACTGCTGGCGGTGCTCAGGGGACCATCTGGGGTGTGGGTAATCAAAGCTGAGTCACTCACATTCAAGGCTAACATCCTTACTCACTGTACTGTAATGTCTGCTACAAGATCATTTTTGAAAAAGATTTGTCTTCCAGCTTTTAGTATTTATGGAAAGAAGGAAGTTGGCAGGAAAGGGGTGATGGTGCTGGGGGGATGGCCTCAAAGGATGAGAGCATAGGCTTTGCATGCTGGAGCCCCAGGCTCCATCCCTATTATTGCATGGTCCCGCAAGTCTCACAGAAAATGATCCCGAACACCTCTGGTATAAAACAAAACAACTTTAGGATTCCAAGAGATGCCTATAATTCTAGTCTGTTGTTTTTGATTTGATTCGTTAACTGTTCTAAGGAAGAGTGCTTTTTTTGTGGAGTGGATAGGGGTTGTGGAAGACATACACGTGGCAGTACTCAGGGGTTCGATATCTTGGCTGCAGAAGCTTTCAAGAAAAGTGCTTTAAAGGTTTTAATATCTTTCAAGCCCAAGAGTTCAGAGGTTTATTCAAAATTTCAAAATAAAAATCTTGTGATAAATAAATAAATAAATGTCACACACTGATCATAGATAATAATAGTCATGTGAGGATTATTTATTTATTAATTACAAACTAAATTTCATCGCATTTCAAATATTAGTGCTTTTTCTTACTGCGGATTCCTATTTCACTTGTGACTCTTAAGTATGTTGTTTCATCAACAAGCATTTGAAGAAAATATCAAAGGTTTTACCAGCTAGGCCTCAATTTCTTTTAAGAAAATGTGGTTTTCTTTTTGTTTGTTTAACTTACAGGTTGGGTGATCATTCTCAACTATCAGAAAATGAGTATACAACATTTTCTAGGTAATTTCAAGTACACCCTGTTAGAAACTGCTCAATGACATCAGTGTTTAATTATTGAGTCTCCATATGGAAAAAGAAAGATTTTCATCTACTTGTTTTCCACATGGGGAAAAAAGTTCTGATGATGGATGCAAATGAGATTAATATGAAAGAGTAGGTAGGGCAGTTGATGTGAAAACTGAATCACATATGAAACCTAAAATTTCATAGCAGACACATTTTTGTTTTAGTTTTTTTTATACTACTGGCAATGTTTGGGGTCACTTCTTGTCAGTTATTGAGCTCTCTCCAGTTCCAGGTATATGATTTTATTTTGAGGATGCAGGGAGTCAAACTCAGGACCTCACACATTCCATGAATATCCCTTAGGTACACTTTTTAAAAAATAAAAATAAATACAGCTAATTACAGTTTTAATTTTTTAAAAAAATTTTATTAGTGAAACACCATGAGGTGCAGTTGTAGATTTACAAATTTTTGT